CCCTGCGCCAAAGAATTTATTTCATTAAGAATTTGATTATAATCTATTGGCGAACTTGAATTTAATTGAGCATATTGCATATGAAGTTGTGGTGGCTGCATAGGTCTTGAATAGAACTCCTCATATGGTTGCCAATATGCTTCTTGTTGAACTTGTTGATCTTCCCACCATATAGAGTTTGAATGATCCCTCCAATCTCTTTGTGGACATTGATTGGCTTGAAATCCTTGCCTATATGAAGCACCAAATGTAGGGACACTCTGCATTGTGGTCCTTTCGGCATACGGCGACAATTTAGAAGTAAGATTTGCCAATTGAGCTTGAATGCTAGCAAAATCCATATCTTACTTCTCTAGTACCTAAAATCAAAGAAAGAGAACTAAATCAAATATCAAAAGTAACAACAAACAAAGAAAACAACATTAAGTTAGAAACTAAAATGAAAACAACTAAACCAAAAAAAAAAAGAAAAGAACCAAGGGATTAGCAAAGTTGCTAATCCCCGGCAACGGCGCCAAAATTTGATGCGAGATTTATACGCACACAAATTAAACCCTCTTTTCGTCAAATTGTAGTATATGTATAAGTAGGGATCGTTCTGGACCGGGGATTAGGAGGGATTGTTAATCACTTGGATTTGACTCAAAAACATAAAAACAAAGTTAAAAACGTTCACAAAGACTCAAAGGACTCAAAACAACACAAACACACTCAAATCTGCCTAAAAACCACTTTCTGGGCAGATTTGAGCACAAACACAAATTTGGACGAATTTGTGTAACAAAATGACTCAAGAACGTAAAAACACAATATAAAACACTATACTAGACTCAAAGAATGCAAAACTAAACTTTAAAACACTAAGACAAACCAAAAGACTCAAAACAACACAAACACACTCAAATCTGCCTAAAAACCACTTTCTGGGCATATTTGAGCACAAACACAAATTTGGACGAAATTAAGTAATATCTTGACTCAAGAACGTAAAAACACAATATAAAACACTAAACTAACTCAAAGAATGTAAAACTAATCACTTAAAACATTAAAACAAACCAAAAGACTCAAACATCACCCAAAACACTCAAAACTGCCTTAAAATCACTTTCTGGGCAGTTTTGAGCACTTTGGTGAATTTGGACGAAATTGGGAAATAAAATGAATCAAAACACTCATAAACACAAACTAAAACACTTTCTAACTAAATTGGACATTAAAGTAAAGGGGGATTTAGATTTATACGAAAATTAACTAAAATGCACAGATTCAAATTAAAGCAAAATGTAAATGTGAATGTGTGATAGAATTTGAATGGAATGAAGGCTAGCTAAGGGGTTCATCTCCATACATGTTATACTTGCATAATAAAATGATTTCCAATTGCATTTCAATAAACCATGAAACTCAACACCCCGGGTTAACCGTGATGCACTAATTAACCTTCAAATATTCCTAACGTTATTGAATTGGATGGGTTAGCGCATACAACAATTCAAAACATTCCCCACAAGTCCCCTACATGATTGCATAATAGAGATACAAGCAAGAATCATTACGCTCTATGAAAATTATAAGTGTTGACGAGGCATTCGTTACTATGGATTGCATGAAACTTATGCCAAGAATTCATTTAACGCGATTGTTTATAAGCAACCTCCACTACTTGTGAATATAAGTTCATAACTATTAGGTGAAACTCACTTATATTCTAGCGTCATATTCATGCATGAAAATTAAGCGTGCACTCTCAATAAACATACATAAATAAGTTATCAATCAAACGGTTAAACAAATTGAATCCACAACTTATAAAACGCAATTAGAAGTATTCAAATCAAAATGCAAGCATAAACATATATTCGAATCACCCCCTAACCAAGGGGGTTTAGTTCCTCATGGTACAAAACAAAGAGAATCAAAGAAACACCTAAACATTCCAACAACTCAAACTTGAATTGTATGAACGTTTAGGCCCTCTTCTCTTCCATTCCTCATTCGTACAAAACAAAGAGTATTGAAATTAAACATTGAAATCAAAGAAACACCTAAACATTCCAACAACTCAAACTTGAATTGTATGAACGTTTAGGCACTCTTATCTTCCTCTTCGTTGTAGCACAAGGTCTAAGGATAGTTTGGTGGTGTGAATGGTTTGGGTAGTGGTGGAGGAATGGAAGGATGGTGTTTGGATTTGTAGGGGAGAGTCACGGCACAAAGGGGGGTTTATGGTCTACATTTCTGCAATGGATGAAGTGTATGAATGGAATGGATGGACTTTGTGAAGGGCACGGCCCCAAGGGACCAATTTCTGTTGTGAAATCAATTGTGTATGAATGAGAATGAATGAATGAGTATTTATAGGTGAAATGGGGGGAACATGACAGCTAGGAACTTGGTGGAAATCTGAAATGGTGATGGGAGATGCATGTGGCTGTTTGTGCATGTGATTAAAGGGTGGAAATGCATGTGTTTTGACAGAAATGAAAGGGAATGCACGTTTTTGGTTGATTTCTGGTGGTTGTGAGGTGGAAATCTAGGTGGAAATGCATGTGGATTAAAGCTATGTGAATGATTAAGGTGAATGTGCATGTGTGCATGTGAAATCTGCCAAGATGCATATGTTATGAAGTGGATTTTCTGCAAAGCAAGGTGAATGTGCATGTGATTAAATTAAAAGATGGAATGCATGTGAATATGATGGAAATCTGATTTCTTTGAAGATGCATGTGCAATGAAGTGGAATGACAGCTAGGTTATGATGATGAATGCATGTGAATATGATGGAAATCTGATTTCTTTGAAGATGCATGTGCAATGAAGTGGAATGACAGCTAGGTTATGATGATGAATGCATGTGGCTGATTTAATTGAATAGGAAAGCATGTGAAATGTTTGTGGTGAGTGAATGTTCATGTGAATTAAAGCTAAAGTGATGATGATAAGTGATAAGTGATAAGTGATATGATATGTGGTTATGATAAGTAATGGGAGCATGTGGGTTAATTAATGAAGGAAATGCATGTGCAATGACAATGTGTTAGAATGGATGTGTGTTATGCATGGCATGATTGGGATTAGGAAAGGTTTAAATGTCCTAAAACTAAAGAGAACAAGGTTCCAACACTTTGGCTCCAATTAGGTCTTCAATTTCGTCCAACACTTTGGCTCCAAGCATAAGCTATCCATCCTTAGCCCAAAAGTGCTCCAAAAATCTCCAAAATGCATCTTTTTGCTCCTTTAGCCCTTTGGACCTACAAACACACGAAAATAGCTTAAAGTACTAAAATAACTAAAGAAACATAACGTAAATGCACGAGAACAAGCCATTTAAGTCGCATGAATATGCTCCTATCAACCACTCACCTCTATAATCAAACCTCAGCATGACAAGCATCTACCGATCACTACACTCGAGCTCTCTAACCCTAAACTCTCCCCTTTCTCTCTCTACGTGAACTACATACTGCATGTTTTTCCTCACTTTGGAGACTGTAAAACAATGAAGAAATGCTCTCCTATTTATAGGGAAAGTGGCCGGCTACAACTAATCCACGATTGGCTGATAAAATGTCAAGAGATAACCACACAATCCGAAAACGTAAAGATCAAGTTTATGCAATTGCAAGTGGTGTCAATTGCATGAGAAACACCTTGACATCTCACTTGCCACGTACAACTGCAAGACTGGTTACAAACAGCTCTAATTTAAGGCCAAGATTGTCTGCCCTCCCACTTCCGGTATCTTCCGTGCCCTTCTGTTTTGTGTGGTCACAGTTAAACCACGTCGACATTTTATATTGTTTTTTTTATATAGATAATAACACAAAAATGAATAGTAATATAAAATGTTGACGTGGCTTAATCGTGACCACACAAACAGAAAGGCACCGAAAGTGGAAGGGCAGACAATCCTTATCCCTAATTTAATTCCTATAGATGTACATAAAATGATTTCGCGCCGGGCCTAGATTGTAGATCTCAACAGTCAACAACTAGAGTGCTTATTAGGCACTTCTAGCACAATCTAATGAAAAATAGGAAAAAGGTTGGAAAGGAAGCCATACGTTTAAAATGTATAGGATATATATACATATCTAAATTATACAATATATGTTAAGTTGAAACAAACCTCACTTCAAAAAATAAAAAAAAATAATAAAAAAAAATTGAAACAAACCAAAACATGAGTTAGGATAAAATATATAATTAAAATTCAAAATTAATGTTGTAAATAACATTTCTAGTAAAATATATTTTTAAAATACAGGTTCTCACAGAGCTACACATGTACTACTAGATTTGTGCATCTCTTCCTAAAGCTCTGACCGATCCACTCCCGAAGTTTGTGGAAAGGATAAACAAGTGGCACCGGCTCTACAGTCATTTTCACATCCCTAATTATTAATTTTTTAAATTTCATATAAAATAAAAGTTTTCTTTTTTAATTTTAAATATTTGTGAATTTAATTAATTTTATTTATCCATAGCAGAAATGGAGGACAAATAAGGGTAATCGGGAAGAAGAAGTACTTCCATCACTCTGGTTCTTGGCGCCTTACTTTCCTGGTCAAGGAACAACATCAGTTTGCTTTTTTTTCTTTTTCGAGAAGTTGATGTCTGGTGGGATACGCATGTCAATTATGGCAACCAGGTGGGTGACAACATTTATGTAAATATTGCATTTAAAATTTTAATTTAAAATTTCATTACACTTGAACATTTAAAAATTATGATCTATAATTTTAATTAGTTTCTTGTTTTTTTCAAGGCTTCAAAGTTGAAGAAGAAGGATAAAGTGAATAGTACCATGATTGACTTTTTATTGTAAAAATATGGTTTTTCGTTAAAGTGAAAAGTGTTTTTTGTTAAAGTTCCTTTTATTTAATGGTTAGAACAAAGCTCAACACTAAACTCGTCTAATTAAAATGGTCCAAAAAATAAGTTTCCAATTTTACTCCTGACTGCAAGCCTTTGTCTCCCCTTTTTTTTTTCCTGACATTAGAAACCTTCTATTTTTTCTTTCCAATTTCGCAATGCAGCTCTGTCACTATGCAAAAACCACACACCCGACTCCCCAACTTAATTTTGAGCCGTCTATATCTCCGTCAAAATCGTAAGCGATCTCCGACATGCAAAACTGTATGATTTTGTCCATCTGCTCCCTTTATTTTTCTTGTTCAATATCAGTACCAAACAAGAAAAACCTGGAATTCCTTATGCTTGTGGTTCAGGTTCCAATAGGAGACGATGATGACCAAAAAGAGAGAGATGCAACCACCTAGCACAAACTCGAAGGGAAAACGTGGCTGAAATCTAAAGATAATCAGATCCAAAAAGAAAAGGTACAAAACCAAGCCATAGCCTTCATAACCTCAAATCCTTCCATCTTTCTCTCGTATCCCCAAGATAATTGTGCTCCCCTACCCTTTTGATTAATTTTGATCCTCCCCTCCCCTGATTGATTGATCTCAACCAATCAATTCTTGAATTACCAATATGTGTGCGTGTGTGTGTGTGTACATATGTTGTGATTATTTTCTTGTTTGAAATTTTGCAGAGAAAGAGCCCAAGTGGGAGTTTTTCCATGGCAGAAAACTACGGCGCATGCCCTCATGAAGAATCTAAGGCTCATGGTGTGTTTGTGTTTATTTTTTTATTTTTTTTTATTTTTGAGGCTGGTTACTGGTTACTGGTTACTGTTTAGTTTATGAGAAGCTGTGTGATCTTTTTTGGATGTTTGATTCTTCAACCCTTTAAGAATTGAAGGTTGCTTTCACATCCGCATCCTTTTCACTTATTACTTTGACAAATAACTGACATTTTTGATTGGTTTAGGTATCATCTTTTTACCACTCATTACTTTTAAAATCTTCTTTTTTTTCTTGTTCCTAGACTAGTGCAGTGCTTTCTTTAATTTTCGTAACTTTTTTTTGTACCTTATTTGATATATACTTCATTTAATTAGTAGCAAACAAAATAGTCTGTTGGTAAACCATTAAAATTTTGAAGGGTCATTTGCCAGTGGAAATTGGTACCCGTGAACAGTGCTCTGCACTCAGAACAGTAATTGGTTTTGGAGGTGTAACTGGAGACTAAAAACTTGAACGATTATAACCTTATCTGTTAAGTGTATTTCCTTGCATCAACTTTTTTTTTTGTAGTATTTTCTATGTTACCTTTTTATAAATGGTGTATGGACCTTTCGTAAAACTGACGGGGACAAAAAAAATCAAGTATTGAAATCTATTGAAAAACAAATGTTGTATTTTTCCAGTGCAGGGTAAATGGAAGAACGCTACTAGATGGAACACTATTTTGGAACCTTTAAATGTGGGGCCATTCCTTAGAGTTTAGTTGATGAAACCAGAATTAAGGTATGCTTGCAGCTTGTATAATACAAGTATCCTTTTCGTTTTTTTTTTTTTTTTACAAATCTATCATTTCCTTTGTAGAGTGCATATATATCTCTATGTCAGTGTATGTACCGTAACGAATGTTTTTGGATTGCTGGATTGCTATTGCAGCCATTTGTAGAGAACTTGTCCAAGTGCCCATGGTCTTCACAATCCGTTCAAAGCACCAGAGATATTTGTGTTTATTACCATTCTATTTCTATGTCCTCATTTATCTTTAGGCATCATTTGTTCTCTAGATTACTCGCATAGATTCATGTAATGGTAGAGGACAGCAAGATTTTCATTAACTCTTCCCTTTTGAAGAACTCGACAGTGATATTTTGCAACAACATCAATTAGCGAAACTCTTTCACCCAAACATTTTTCATTGTTCCATCTGCAACAATGAAAATAGTTAAGACACTATTTTCTGAACTACAACAAAATAAAGCACACTATTTCTGGAACTAGCAAATAAATTTATACTATTTATGAAATGAAAAAAAAAAAAGAAAAGCACAACATGTCTAGAAGGTAACAAAATAAACACTACTTATGAAACTATAGCAAAATAACCAACACTATTTTTGCAAGTGAACCAAAATAACTCATACTATTTTTGAAACTACAACAATAAACTCATAGTATTTATGAAACCGAACTAAAATAACTCATACTGTTTATGAAATAGAGCAAAATAAACACTATTTCTTGAACTATAACAAAACCACGATTTCTTGAATTACAACAAACTAACCTATATTATTTCTAAAAGTGAACCAAAATAACCCACATTGTTTCTGGAAGTACAGTATAATAAACATACTGTTTATGAAATGGAGCAAAATAAACACTATTTCTTGAACTATAACAAAACCCCGATTTCTTGAATTACAGCAAATAACCCATATTATTTCTAAAAGTGAACCAAAATAACCCACATTATTTCTGGAAGTACAGTATAATAACCCACATTATTTCTGAAAGTGAACAAAAATAACCCATATTATTTATAGAATTACAACAAAATAACCCATACTATTTCTAAAAGTGAACCAAAGTAACCCACACTATTTCTAGAACTACATCATTATACCCACATTATTTCTGAGCGTGAACCGAACTAACTCACACTATTTCTAGAACTACAATATGATAACCCACATTATTTATGAAATGTAACAAAATAAACACTATATATGGAACTATAATACACTGATTTTGGATTTGAACAAAAAATAAAGCACACTATTGTTGGAATTATTGGAAAATTATACACTATTTATGAAACTGAAGAAAACAAACACTACTTCTCATGGTTCTAAAAGACGCTAGGTGCTAGTCGGGTGGCGGACTGAGGCCTAGCGCCTTGGCAGAGTCTAGGTGGACCAGGCGGATGTAAGTAAATTTATTATTTATCTTTAGTACTTTGATGAATTTGATAGAATGAGGTGAAAGTTTAAATAATTACAACTTTGTGGTCCGTTTCTTTGAATATATGACAAAGTTACCGGCCAACCCCTAGTTGTCGGAAAAGTTACTAATATTGAATTGCAATCATGTAACTATTTTAAAATATAGTATTATTTATAAAATGATTTTAGTTGACTTTTCCATTAGTACCTAAACTAAAAATATTGTTTGAATTTTCTCAAAAAAAAAAAAAAAAAAAAACCTAGAAATATGGTATTACAGTTTGCACCCTTACGTTTGGGTTGGAAACTTGTACATCATATTTAAAACATTGCAATGTCGTACATAAAGTTGTGAATTTTATTGCAATGTTATACATCCGTTAGATTTTTTGTTACATAAACCGTTAAGTGACAATGTGATTAATATAGAGTATTTGTATCCCGAAATTTTCTTAACCACCTCCAGGATCATTGTTTTATCAGTCAATAGTCAACAAGATTGCACGGGGAAATCTTTAAACCCACGAACTAAAAATGAAACTGGAATATTTTCAATGAAAGTGGTTGCTACATAAAACAGTTTTTGTAGGTGTCCTTTCTAGGAGCAGGGGGGCAAGAAGAAAACAAAAAAAAAAAAATAGAAAGAGAGTCAACGGAAAAAAAAAAAAAAAAAAAAACAGAAAGAGAGAAGGAACTGACTGATAGAATGACATATTTGTAAATAAAGAGAAGTTTATTATAACAGAATTTGCTGACAGAATGAGGTTCCTGTTAGGGGTATGTTGGGAAAAAAAAATTATTTCGGTTTGGGCTTTTTATTCACCCCATGTTTGTTCAATGTTGCGGAGCTTGACATAGATTAGTTTTGTCTTTATAATTAAATATGAAGTCCTTTTGATTAAATAATAATATAAGAGGATTTTTTATTAAATTAAACTTAGCTCAAAACATTTTTATTAAAGCTCCTTATTTGTTTTTTTATTCTTTAAATCCCTTGCCTGACGACTTTTTCATTCGGCACATTATTTTTTTATTTCTGAACCCCCGACAAAATACTCACTCGGGCAAGTAATATTCGTTAGGCTACATTGGTCAACGCACTTCGCTGGACGAAATGTTTCGTTGGGCAAACCGTATTTGCTCAAAGTAGTTCTAGAATTCGTCAGGCAAAAGTTTCAGCTACAACTTTTGCCTGATGAAAGTTTGTCGAGTAAAACCTTTGGTGAAGAAAACTTTATTTCGCCCGACCAAATCCTTTCGTCTGGATTTTTTTTTGTAGTGTTTATATGTAAGCTATACTTTAGTATCCTCTTTGATTTGAACTTTGAAGTGGGATTGTTTTTCTTCTTCTTGGTTGTCCTGCTGCTTCATCTTCCTTTGCAAGTGTTTTACTTTTGTGCTTTGATTAATTTTAGTTACTGAATTTTTAGTCATGGTCTGTGGATTGAATTGGGATTGAAATAGGGTTTAGGATGTGTTGGTTGCCAATGGCACCAGGGGAAGAGTTCGTTTGTATAATGACAGTCTACTAGCTACTTGGGGTTGGTTGCCAATAGCAATACGGAAAAAGAGGAAATGGGAATATTGTAGAAAGGAACAAGTATTCATTTGCACATGTGAATGACATTTTACCAACTGTCCGTATGTTCACTACAAGAAAAAGGTCTTCTTTTGACATTTTTTTTTTTTTTTCGAGTCTTAACGAAACACTTTTGGTACTGTTTACTTTTAACGTTAAGGATATTTTTACTCCAAAAAGTCACTTCTTATACTATTCACTTACAACACCTTTTTGTCTTTTTGGTTAAAACTCAAAGTTTTCAAATCCTTTTCATTAATTTTAGTTTTTATTTTATTTAATTTTTTTTGTGTCAAATAACACGGCCCTTGCAAATAAAATAAGAGATGCTTACTTTTTTGTGTCAAGAATTAGCAAGACTGAATGCTGATCTTATTTATTGTATTATCTTTTTCATTGTTGTTATAAGAGATGCTTACTTATTCTAGAAAGTAAATTTTGATCTTTTTTTTATTTTTATTTTTTATTTTTTTATTTTTTTTATATATGGGTTAATGATGGATGAAAGAAGATATGCAAAAACCAGTTAACGAAAATGCAGGAGATGCTTACTTTGTTCCTTTATTGATGCATTTTTGTCTTTGCAATTCTTATGCCATCAGGTTGTTCTTTGTATGGGAAGAAAGATTTTTGGCACTTTCTGCTATTGGAGCAACAAGTATAGGTTCAACGGAGGTTTATGGTTCTACTTTTATTATATCTTTGCCCCATCTGGCCCAGAAATCTTTTCTTTAATGGTTCTACTTGCCCTGAATCTACTTTTTGTTGTATTTCATGTGGGTTTCAAGCATAAAGATAGATCGCTCTAGTCGTTACGTGGTTTCGTGCTTTTTGTGTTTCCATCCATTCAAGGTTTTTATTCTACCTACTACTCTTTTTGTGCTTCCATGTATTCAGGCAGCCGCATTCAGCATGGGATCAAGATCAACTGTGGTACTTGTCTTTCAGGCTCCCACATCACATTCACAAGGGATTTATTGTTGGTGTGTAAGTTTCATTGCTGAAAGTCTAGAGAGGCCAAGTGTAAATCTTAGATTTAATGTAAGCCCTTGGATCACAGTCCAAGTGTGCAGCTAAGATGTAATCTTAGAGTAAGTGATGGTTTATGCCATATGTGCAATGTGGGGATTGTTGGTGTGTAAGTTTCATTGCTGAAATTCTAGAGAGGCCAAGCGTAAATCTCAGATTTAATGTAAGCCCTTGGATCATAGTCCAAGTGTGCAACTAAGATGTAATCTTAGAGTAAGTGATGGTTTATACCATATGTCACTATATTATAAGGTAGATGAAATGGATAGTTAGATTTACATGATGCAATGAGAGAATATTTCATTCTCTCTCCTCTCTAATGGTATTATGGTGCACAATGTGTGCGTGTGAATGTATGAACAGTTGTTGCTCAATTTCTTCATTCTTCTCTCTGCAACTTCTTAAAAATTCCAGAAAACTAAAACCTCCAATTCTCATTGATTGATTTCATATACAAGATATATGAATGTTAACATGGCCTTAGAGCCAGGTTTGATCAATTGATACTCGGTGTTTGAATATGTGAAGAAACTACCATGAAACTCGAAATCGAGGTTGAGTTTTCTATGATCTGAGTCTAACATGGTCGGATCTCGTAGTAGCGAGTTGAGAGAACCGATTTTTAAAGGTGATAACTATGAGTGTTGGAGTATGTATAAGGATGAAAACCATTTTCAAGTCTAACGGGGGATCTTGTTGAAAAAGGGTTTGAGAGCTTAGATTCGAAGAATGAGGATGAATCTGATGCGAAGAAGAAAGAAAAAGAAGAATCGAGCAGTGTTGGGAAGATGACTCTCACTGAGAGACTCATGAAAGATGCCAAAGTTGTGGGTCTGATTGAGGGAGCAGTCTCAGATGAGATATTCCCCAGGATATCTCATGAAGAAACCTCAAAAGGTGAATGGGATATGCTGCAGGAAGAATACCATGGTGATAAACAGGTTAGAAGAGTTGAAATGCAAGGTCTTCGTAGAGAGTTTGAATATACAAGAATGAATTATGACGAATCACTTTTTGTTTATCTTACAAAGCTGTTTGATCTGATAAATCAAATGTGAAGTTATGGAGATGACTTATCTCGAGAGAGAATAGTTCAATTGCTGATTAGCTTGCCTTCAACATATGATTCTCTTTGTTCTGTTATTGAGCATTCGAAAGATTTAGATGTGATTGAATTGCAAGAAGTTGTTCCTTCCTTGAAGAGTTTTGAATTAAGGCTGGATAGCCATTCTGAGAACAGAATTGAGAGGGCATTTGCTAGTCTTAGTGTGAATCCTAAGCCAACTAAATTCTCTGGAAATCAAAATATACTAGAAGAATTGGAAGG